TAGAGGTGGAAGGGATTATAGAGGTCATCTAGTGGAACCCCCTCGTTTTACAGAAGAGGCAACTGTGGCCCTGAAAGCTTAGTTGACTTATGTTTTTAGTAAATGACAAGAGGCAAATGGATCCAGGTCCTTTGACTATGTATACATACATATATATATATATATATATATGTATGTATGTATGTATATATAGTGTTCTTCCAACTATCCCATGTTGTCATTTAAGAATGTTTTCAAATTTTGCAGATCAAAAGATAATTGATTTTGAAGTAGAAGGTACATCTTGTCTAACACTGCCCCCCCCCAAATTAATTGACTTGCCCTAGATCACAGAAGCAGGGTTTGAATCCAGTTTCTCTAACTCCAAATGTAGTGAGTGTTTATTCCACTGTATCATATATCTTTCAGGCATGTGTTTTCACTTTTTTTTGCAGATCCAACTTAAGTGAACCAACTTAAATCTTTCCTCACAGTAATTAAACTATAATGAAAGGAAAGAAGAGATGCTTCCATCATGAATGTCATCCATCAGATGTATTTTTTTTTTTTGAGGCAAATGTTTTGGGTTAAGTGACTTGACCAGAGTCACACAGCTAGTAAGTGTGTGAGGCCAGATTTGAACTCAGGTCCTCCTGACTCCAGGGCTGGTGCTCTGACACCCAGATGCCCCCCTTTTGATCTTTTTAACCTATCACATGTATATCTCCTTTTCTCCACTCACATAGCCACCACCTTGGTTCAGGCCTTCAGTACCTCACACCTGGACTATTGCAATAGCCTTGTAGTTGATGTCACTGTCTCAAATCTCTCTCCTTTCTAACTTAGTTGCCAAAGTGATTTTCCTAAGCCATAGGCATAACCACGTCAACCTCCTACTCAGTAAACTCCGGTGCCTCTCTATTACCTCCAGGATCATCTATAAAATCCTCTATTTGGCATATAAACCTCTTCATAACCTGGCCCCTTCCCCTTTCCAGTATTATTACACTGTGACCCCCTGCCTGAACTCTATGATCCAGCTGCACTAGTCTACTTGCTGTTCCTGGCACAGAATAATCCATCTCCCACCTCCACACCTTTTCCTTGGCTGTCCCCCATGCTTGGAGCTGTCTCATTCCTTGCCTCTGACTCTTGGTTTCCCTGGCTTCCTTCAAGAGTCAGCTCAATTCTTATCTTCTGTAGGAAGCATTTCCTGTTCTTCTCCACTGCTACTGCCTTCCCTCTGAGATTAACCTCCATTTACACTGTCTTGTATGTACATAGTTATTTACATATTATCTTCCCTATTAAAATGTGAGTTCCTTTAGGGCAAAGGCCATTTTTTTATTCCCAATACCTTGCACAGTGACTAGTATTTCATCTTAAATAAATACCTGTTGATAGACTGTCAGTATTCATTTTCTAAAATCAGATCAAGATTGGGACTCAACGGTGGTGGTGAGGGGGGAGATGTCTTCTTTGCATCTGTGTTCTTCCAGTGGTTTGTATGCTGTACTACTCATGAACACTACAGAGCTGAGAGGTGAATGTGACTGTGTTTCTTTCTTTTTAATTTATGGCCTAAAACAAACATTCCCATAACATGGTATAATAAAAAAAAAAAGATGATTGCACATAAAACTGCAAATCTATTATGTACAACTTGCTATTCCTTTTAAATACATAACAAAGTTGTCATGTAAATTTTTTTCTTTTTTCCCCCTCTCCCCACCCCCCACCCTAGAGATGGCTACTATTAGACATAAATATGTATATATGTAAAATCATTCTACACATCAGTTCTATTATTTTTTCTTTTTTAACTTTTCTATTACTGTTACTGTGTTTCTATTACTTGAGGTCCAGACTCTTAATTGGATGTTCAAGATGGATTCTGCCTCATTGTTAGAAGTAACCATATCCGTGACATTAGGATTTTTTCAAGTAATAAATGATCCATATTGTTATCTTTTTGTCCCCTACACTTAGCCTAGTGCCTAGAACATAGCACTTTTTAAATGAAGGTCATCATAAACTTAGAGATAGAAAGGAATGCAGACGTCTTTTGGTCCAACCCCATCATTTTATAGGTGAGGAATGAGCTTAGCACAGTGCCTGGCACATAGTAGGTGCTTAATATATTGATTGGATTGGATAAGAGGCCCAGAAAGGGTTAATGACTTGCACCAAGTCACAGAGTTAGTATGTGACAGGACTGGACTCTAAACTGGGGGCCTAACTCCAAATCCAGCCTTCTTTCCACTGCTCCATGCTGTCTGCCATCCCATCTTTGTTCATTCTTATCTCATGTGTACCAAGGAGAAGTGAATGTAATTTATTTAGGAGTCAGGCATTAAGCTGTATGGCTGCTGCCATCCAAGAGAATGGCAGCATAAGAAGTTGAACATTCAGGAAGGAGAAAAGAACTAGCTGTATCCTCACACCCCTCTTCATCTCCACCCCTTTCCTTCTTGTCTCCATTTCCATAACCCTTTTATTTCCTCAACTCCTTCTTCCCCAAACCAAACAAATAGCACAAAATCTTCCAAGGAGATTTAATTTCTGTACTTTATTCACTGTACCACAATGGACAACACATTACCACACAAAGACATTTTGACCTCCATTGCCTTTAATACTTTTCAAGAAGGCAGCCTTGACCCTGGTTCACGGTCCCCATCCAGGAACTGAGAGGGCATGAAAATCAGTCAGCATGATATCTGGCTGCCATGGAGAAAGAACTGAGAGCTATTATAGAGCCTGATGAAGCCAGCCCCAAGATGACAAGTTCATTGTTGTGGGTCAACGAATACCAGTCCTTTATACAAAGAAGCCATGGATGCAGTTCTTCACACACTGTTATTTTCTGCTCCATGACTTACCGTGAGCTTCCACTTTCTCTAAAGAGCAATCTTTTAAAGTTGTGCTTATTTAAAAAAAAAACCAAAAACCTTTCATACATCTGACAGCCAGGCAATTGGGTTAACCAAGACAGTTAGGTTGGCCCTCTAGGATAAATATTACAAATTCACATTTCCTCAACTTATTATTTGTACATTAAAGCATCCATTTTATTTTTCTGTGTC